CTGCATAAACAATCTTGATTTGATAGTCCCAATAGCAGGGGACGGCATGAAGTATATCAGGGAAATTATGAGGTAGAACAGATGGTGTTATTTTTAACAGCAAATTAGGATAACGTTAAATATTTTCGTAAATCAATGAAAAGAGTGAACAGGCGAGACAGGCAGTACTCGTAATTGGCTCATGGGTGACTTAGTACAAGTGTAGCCATCTATGTGTAAAAACAATCGAACAAGTCGACTCACAGTAGGCATGGCATGTACATACATGCCATCCCCAGCGGCAATGGGTTAAATTACATATTGTCCAACCTAATCTTTCCAATCTTCTATTTCTTCCACAGACAGGGGGCAAGCCCCTGTACCCCCTCTTTTTTAGCAATTCATGCCAAATTACTGAAAACGTGACATTAAGAAGTGTGGCTGTGTGAGGTCTTGACATGACATGCACTAGATATTTTTGACATTTTCCAGTAAATAAGAGGTCACTGCTGTACCTGTGTTGTTTATTACTCTATTTCATAAGCTCTATATGATATCAGTGTCTATTTCCCTCTATATCTGTGCATCGCTCTCGGTAACGAGAACCAGAGACGGTTTTGGCTCGGCCTCTGACCGAACTTGAGCTGCAGTCCGGCTAAGATGCAAGGATCTAAAGCCAAGCAAGGGGGTGAAGGGGAGGTTAGTACTTAATTGAAAAACAATACATATGTAGAATTTAGTGCTCGAATACCATGCACACGCGGCTGTGATGCTCACAGACGCCTTCCCATTCGATTCTATCATGCACGTCACGCAAGACAGATGGCCCACATTCAGGTTATTTTTCTCACAATAAATACTTCCTCATTCGTCATTTCTATTTGCCGGTTGATGTGGTAATTAACCCGTGTAATTATCTATGGCTCATACCGTCTTAATACATGTAAGTGTGCTCATTCAACGAGTACAGAGGAAAAAATGAAAATTGAAGCAAATGAAATACGTTTTTAGGAACATTCGAACTCTTCTAAGCAATGTTATAGAACTTGAGAGTATACTTACCAATCAAATTTTCCTATCTGGTCTTCATAGAGGCCAAGGGCCGGCCCGAGGCACAAAAGGGTACATAAAACGGGAAGCATAGTCGTTCTCGCTCCCGTTCCTGTCATCGGGAGAGGTTGCCTTCGTCCGGTCAGGGTTGTGTAGTGGATATTCTAGGCTGTGTGTTTCTGTTTTATATGTTTTGCAACTAAGAATTTTACAGGTTTAACAGTCAATTACTTCCTTTTAAGTGTTACGTTCAACAATTATTTAAAGATTTAAAGTTTGCATGTTTCTTTTCACTCCTTAATTTACATTACGTGACCTGACATATATTGGTGTCGGCTGCTAGCAAAGGCCGATAAATTTGTATAAAACATTTGCAAATTTAATAATGTTTAAATTTATTCCGTTGTTTCTTTATGCATAGCAATTAATATTTGAGCACAATACCTTGTTACAGGAAAGTATCACTGTATCGAATCTCAGCGAAAAAGAAAACCAGAATTAGAAGGGATACTGGAGATTTATTGCTGACTTTTCTCTTCTCTTGTGTTGCTAAAATCAGAAAGTGTTTATGTGTATGCAGAGAGACCTGAATACACGCACACGCGCGTGCACAAACACGCACGCACGCAATCACACACACACACACACACACACACACACACACACACACACACACACACACACACACACACACACACACACACACACACACACACACACACACACACACACGTGTGTGATGTGGTGTTTATGTTTACAAAGACAGACCTTGACATATGCACCCGCACCCCCCCCCCACACACACACACACGCACACAGATATGTGTGTGTGTGTGTGTGTGTGTGTGTGTGTGTGTGTGTGTGTGTGTTTTGTTAGGTGTCGAATTAAGTCTTGTTCAGTTGGCAAAGTCAGGTTTCATAATGAGTCGATGGCTCCACATGGTCAAAGACTGTCACAAGAGCTTTCAGAAAGTAGTGGTTCTGTTGCCCAGAGCAGGCTGGAGGGGGGCAGCTCTCCTCCAAGACTCTGTTTGCCCCACAAGAGATCTGGCTTGCCTACCCCCGTCGAGGGCTGATAGGATATATATTTTTTCTTGTTTTATTGCCTAATTTTCAACTATATAGCTTTGGTTATAGCTTTAAAATGCCCCATGAATAGCTCATTTTCAATAAACCCTAAAAAAAAACAGAAATGATGCCCTTGGCCCAGGGGCTGCTATAATGGCTCCCTAGTTAAAGAGGCCCTAGCTGGTGAATTACCTGACAGAGCTGCGTCTTCTGGGTAGGCGGATAGGTAAGGTTTCATGCAAACGATCAAGAGCCTTTGCACAGGGGCCACAATAGGGCCATGAGAGGTATGGAAGAACTTGCTTGGGACAGAAAGGGGTTTCCCTAAACAGTATTTCAGCAGGGGAGACCACGATTACTTCTCTGTCCAACGTCGAGGAAAACCCATGGAAGCTGAGCCTTCCAGGTACAGCGAAACATCAGCAGTCTCAAGGATGTGGTGGATGTTTTTGACCCAATTTTTATGAATTAGAAGAGATGACGTCCACAGGTGGGAGACAAACTTCAGTCAGAGCTGTTGTCGTCCAGTACAACAATGTAGTGTTACAACAATACATAGCTCTTGCAGAAGGAGATAGACAACACAATATTGGAACGTCTAGTGTGGTAAGAAGAGATGAAGTTAAAGCAATGATCATGAGTATGCGCATATGTATATGTGTGTGCAAAGATACGTATGTGTCAAATAAGTAAGAGTATATAAAATATGTAGAATATGGTAATATGACATAGATATAGCTGGGTTACATATCTCCCTGGTGTTAAAACGATGGCCTCATCACAATCAAACATAATTTAAATTTATGTAGCTAAAGACAATAGAAAGTATATAAGAAGAAACAGTGGCATAATGTATCAAATGACGTGAGCAACGTAGAAAACATGATACACGCATTGAATGGGGTAGTGTGTGGTATCAGTATCGAGATTTGCTAGTTATATCAGTGCTAACGGATGTCGAGAGAGCGATATTCTCGTGCTTCAGAACTACAGCTTGAACGGGTGGCGCTGAAGGAAAACCATCTTCAGCTGACGAGGCAGAGAGCGGGCCGTCCCTATGCGGCTGATGGGGATATTTGGAGTGCTGCGTGGCGAGCAAGGTCATGGCGCGACAGGTCAGCAGGATGATGTGGGTCCTGTATCGTCGTGGTTGCGTGGATGAATCCGCATGGTGAGGAACTCGGCATAGTGTAGGGATGTTTTGAGTGGTCCGCGTCCTTGGTGATTCGTGGTCCAGCTGGTGTCCTTCGGAAATTTGCACAGCGTTGGCGGCAACAGATTAGATAAATGCTGAAGGGTCAACAGCAGGTGCTGAGAGTGGTGTTAGGCCGGAGTTCAGCAGCTAGGCACGCAGCGTCGGTTATCTGGCCTTGGGGACATCTCAGCAGGAGGACTGGCTCATACTATGACTAAGTATTGCATGCTTGACAAGGTGGATTGTTGATGCGGAGTTCAGCCTCACCGCTAAGCCACCAGTTGTAGGAGTCCGAATGATGGTTCTTACAAGAGTAAGGTAGGTGGCGAGCTTAGGGTATATATGAAGGGCCATTATTAGTTAACAGATGAAACCGGTGAACTTACCTCGCTCCCTCCACATTTCCTGCAGCTGCCCCATATTTCCTGCAGCTAATGCCCCACGCTACGTGTCCAGTGGACGTTCACTGCTTGTCGCCGAGGATGATTCGTGTCCAGCGGTCGACGTGATAAGGTTAGTCCAGCCCATTAGGGCTGGCTAGCCGGACACGCGACACCGCGCTCAGCGCTTACCCAAGATTCGTCTTGTGTGTTCCCCTCACTGTGTAGTACTATTCCTTAATAAAGTGTGAAGCAGTTATAACTACTATCACTACCCAACCAGTCACATAACCAATGTACTAAGGTTCCATGAGCCTCTTACAGTGTAAGGTAAACAACCAAGAGGTCTTGAACCCTTTATTGTAGAGTAATAATAGAGTGTGGCTGCTCCTAGGAGCGAGATGTTGCTCCTTGGCTTCCCACAGGGAGTCTGCCTGTCATCTCCTACAGTGGTCTAAGGATCGCTCTAAGTCATGTATTTAGCATGTGACAACCGGTAATTAGCAAGGAAGTGTTACAACAATACATATTTCTTGCAGAAGGGGATAGACAACACAATAATGGAATGTCTAGTGTGGTAAGAGATGAATATCAGTTAAAGCAATGGTAATGAGTATATGCATATGTATATGGATGTGTGAAGATACGCATATGACAAACATGTAAGGTTATATAAAATATGTAGAGTATGGCAATATGATGTAGATATAACTGGGCTACATACAGCATTGATTAGGCGTCGGAAGAGGGTGCTACCCCCTTATTTTTCCCTCGATGGATAGGGTCGAATTATGACCTGGAGCTCCTAGGCTAACGAAATAATGGAGCCACCCTCTTATATGAAATAGGACCACATTATTTAGAGTTAAGTCCCCATGATTCATAGCTAAAGTCCCAAACTGGAGCCTCTTATTTCAAAAAGGGCCTAAAACTGGGCCCCTTTATCTCAAAAAGTATCAAACAGGGGCCCGTTATCGTAAATAAGGACTGCAAACAGGGCAGACTCCCATGCCTCTTTAAAAAAAAAAATCTTATCTTGAGTTAAATCAATTATTCAGTAATAAAAAATCAAAATATAATATATATATATTTACTTATTTATATATTTATATATATTTATATGCAGGGCCGGATTATGACCTTTTGGGGCCCCTAGTCTAATGAAATTATGGGGCCCCCTCAGAATATTTTTTACTCGTGACAAATTTTAGCGACATTTACATAGCTTGAAGTAAACTTATTACAAATTCTTTAAATAAACTAGCATAGCTGTCTTTTGTTTGTCAATAAAAATATTCTTTAAATACCACTATCTTACAATATTTCAACACAACCGTAGTGAAAAAAAAAACATTTTTTTTTATAACCAAGCCCCTCAAGCTTGGGGCCCCAAGCTTGAGGGGCCCGGGGTTGCAGCCTATACTAGCCCCTAGGGTAATCCGGCCCTGTTTATACATATGTGTGTGTGTGTGTTTGTGTACACATATGCATATATATATATATATATATATATATATATATATATATATATATATATATATATGTGTGTGTGTGTGTGTGTGTGTGTGTGTATACATATATATTCGAAAATCTCTTAGCCGGCCCCCCTCACGCTTGAGGAGTCCCTGGCTTGATAAGTCTTAGGCTGCAACCTATAATAGCCTATGGCAGGGCTACTCAACTGGGCCTTTGCTCATAATAGTTCAGTAGCCCAGGCCTATGGGATAATTTGGTCATGCACCCTTATCGTTTATTGTATCAATGAGGTTTCTTACAAATTGATTTTAACGTTCACATTTAACACTAAGAGGGAAAAATGCAGAGTGGAGACACTGAGGAGGCACCATGCAACAGGCGCATCAAGCTCCAGATGTGCACGTGATTTTCAAGAACTCCGTCCATTAGATGCTGGAAGGTTGCAACTGAATTTCGGAGGCTGGAAAATGAAAAGGACAAGACCTTGCTCCTGTGAAAGTTGGAGGAAGGGTCGTCATTTTGAGTAGAGGGTAGCGATTTGGTTCGCCATGAGATGTATTCAGGGTCATGGATTCTCGAGATTTGACCCAATGATAATAAGCATAGAGGGTTATGTGTTTACAGATAATATATATGAAATCTGTAGTTTTATCACAATATAAGTGATATTCATTGCAATATTAATTTTGTCTATCAAGTCAGATTATCATCAAAAGGCCCATTACAATATAATGTTCGTTCTATTTAACAACGTTAACTTTGACATTCCTTTTAAGACAATCCTTAAATATATAAAAGAAAATTATTCGATTCATGATCTTTCATGAATATCTGCCCAAGTTACATCAGCTTTCTCGAAGTCGTAGTAACAACGCCCGCGGAAACGACGCCGTCAGGTCAAGGCCCACGGCTTGTTAGGCTGCTTGGAGTTTTTGGAGGGAGGGAGTGGATGGGTGTGAGTGACTTAGAATGGAATCAACTTCCAGCTAAGGTAATGGTTAATGGTTGAAACAAAT